GGCCCCTGCTAGAGCCAGGAACAGAGCTGACTCCCAGGGCCCAACAGGGTTCTGAAATGGAGGCAGTGTCTTTCCTAACTATTTCATGAGCTCACATTTGGACACGCTTCTGTAGCTCTGTCTCCAAGCCCTTGATCCAATTTCAGCTTTGCTCGGCCACTGGCACGACTTCTAAGCTCTATGTCCCTCCGCCTTCTCACCTGAAAACTGAGGTGACCATTTTCTTCTGCACCTGCCTCATAGGGGAAAACTGAGGCTCAGAAAGGTCAGGGACTTTCCTACTTGACAAACCAGTAAGGCGTGGGGATGGGACTTGGACCAGTCTACTTCGGGGTACAGAGGGTGCCCAAATCCTGAGCCCTGAGCTCTGCATGCGGGTCTGCAGGGAACGTGGGAGAACCAACAGCAGGCACCTGCCTTGGGTGGTTTTGGGTACCCCCTAAGCATCGCGTAAGGCAGATGTGCATAAAAGCTTGGAAAGAGCGCTGCCTTAGAGGGTGAGCTCCCCATGCCTGGAGGCATTCAAGGTGATGCCTGCGGAGCACTTGGCGGGGATGTCCCAATGTAGATGGGACAAGCTCAAATGTCCCCATGACTTGGACTTTCGCTGACGTGTCCAGGCTTCCGTGTGAGTGTCCAGGGCCAGGTCCTCTGTGCCCACTCCACAGGCTGGACCTGAGAGTGGGGATCTCTATCACCTGTTGAGGGAACGCTGGGGAGGAAGCCATTCCCTGGCAGGAGAAGAATCAAGTCTGGCTCGGACGTCCCTTGAACCAGGCTTCTACCAGTGGGCATGGCTGGCCAGTATACCCTAAAGCAAGAACCAGTCCCCACATACTCTCCCCAGCCACCGGGATCAGCGAATGGACTGGGGGCTGCCTCTCGGCTGGCATCGGGGAACGGGAGGGTCCCCTTTCTGGTCGGAACCGCGTGGAGGGCTGTGTAACACCACGGGAGTTCAGGCGCACGGTGGAACCGGATCCTCCCCGGCAGCAGCGGCCGCACGTGGGGCTCACCCTCTCCGTGTGGGGATGTGGTAGGACGAGGCTCTCGGAGGATGCATTCCTTGTTCCAGAACATGGTCCCTTGCTAGACAGTTGAGCTCTGTGACGGTGACTTGGGCCCAGGCTTATGGTCAACAAAGGGTGAAACCCAAGATGCTCCCAAGGCATAAACAGGAGCCAGGAGCACCTTGCCTTGAGCCCAAGGTGGGGTGCAGGCCCCTCCATCACTCCCTCACCTCCATCTGCGGTCACCCCCCGGCTAAGTCCACGGCTCGCAATTCTGAGGGTTCCTGGAACCAGAATGGGTTCAAGGCAGAGTTGGGGAGGGTCAGGACTTTATCACTTGGGGCAAAGATTTCCAGGGAGAATTGTTTAGGTTGCATTTTTCTCAATGATATGTCTTTGGAATTTTCAGGAGAACGCGGTGTCCCTGGAGCCCCTGGAAAGGCGGGACCAGTGGGACCCAAAGGTAACCAGGGGGCAGAGAGCGAGGAGGCCTTAAGCAGGGACCTTGGAGCTGTGTATAATGAAATAAGGGAGGGCGAGACACAGACATAGACACAAAGAGACAGGGTGGGGAGACAGCAACAGAGAAAGACAGAGGAAGGCAGACAGGGGCCCTGTCATATTCCAGGCCTCGGGGCCCCTCGCCAACATTGAGACCTGAGCGTTGTGATGCCTCAGTAAGCCTGCAGGGCTGGGGAGATGCAGTGCCCCAGGCCAGGAGCCCACCCTGGGGCCGGCCTCTCCGCGGCCCACACGTCCAGGGCCAAAAGCTCATTCTCCTGCATCTTCCTCCAGGAGACCGAGGAGAGAAGGGGATGCGTGGAGAGAAAGGTGAGCCACCCGTGGACTCAGGCAGGTGCCTCTGCAGCCTTTGTCCAGGGGAGGGGTCTCGGAGGCCTCAGTCCACCCATCCACCGCTCACATCCCTGTCAATCTGGGCTGTGGGCAGGGAGGGGCGGAAGGAACCCGGTGGGCTTTGCTGTCAGAATCCGTGAGGGCTCAAACCCCAGTGTCTACAGCAGTCACTCCCAGTGGCCAGCAGGACCACATCAGTGTGTAGATGGTGACACTTTAATATTTCAATTTCTGTCTTACTTATGCTTATTTATTCAAAAATTGTAAAAGTTTAAAAAAGCCGAATGTGCAACACTCTAAGACACAGTCCCACACTCTGCCTACAAAAACAAATGAGAAGCAGAGCCGGGGGCTGAGGGTCCGCCGATATCTGTGTCCCAAGAAACAGAGTCCAGGGCGGAGGCAGGGCAGGCTTGGAGCGACCCTGCCAGGCTTGAACAGTTGTTCTGCTGTTATCAGTGGTGAAGGCTCCACTAGGGGTCCAGTTAGTCCAGCAGGACCCACAGTGCCTGCCACAGCCCGCGAAGCTCCCGCTGCACAGCAGGGGCCTACGGACAACCATGTGGCCGGTGCCTCTGGGGAAGCAGAGTGTGGCCACCCTCCCCTAGGCCTGTGCCACGTGTCCTAGATACATCAGAGGAGCTGCCTTTGCCCATTCTCTATTCTGTGCTCAGGGAGCCACTGGGGCTGACCGGGACGAGGGTTCTGATGCTCTGATTTCAAGCTTATGACGAGCGTCTCCTCTCCCCACACAGGAGATGCTGGGCATTCTCAGTCTTGTGCGACAGGTGACTGATCACACCCTGACCTCGGTACCCAAGCCTTGCCCCGACCTCTAGGGCCAGCTGCATGCGTTCACGCCACAGACTCTAAGGAAGAACCCTGTCTGCACCTATCATCCCCCCTCAATCACTCGAGTAATGGGCAGCCATCGCCTGAATCCCTTCCATGACAACCCCGGCTCCACTATTATAATCTACCCCAGAAGGCCGGGTGCCCAGGAGTCGAAGGTGGGGGAGACACTGGGAGGCGGGAGGGTCAGGCAGACTGGGCGTGGCCATCACAGCTGCATGGCCCTGGGAGCCATGTCCCTGTCTAGGCTTCGGAGTCCTGCTCTCTCCGCACAGAAGCCTGTGACCCTGCTCCTCCCTGCCAGGTCTCCCTCCCACTGCCCCTGCCCTGCCCAGGGGCCCCATCCTGCAGCCACTCCCTGGGTTCCCTTCCCAGGCCCACGCACCTGCAAGGACCTACTAGACGGAGGGCACTTCCTGAGCGGCTGGCACACCATCTACCTGACCAACTGCCGGCCGCTGGCTGTGCTCTGTGACATGGACACGGACGGAGGGGGCTGGACCGTGAGTGGGAGACTGAGGGGCCCTGGGCAGAGGCGGTCAGCCTGGGAGACCCGGAGTCCAGGCTGCACACCTGGCCGGAGAACACACTCTGGAATTCTCTATTCTCCTGGTCGGGGACAGAGATGATGGGGGAGGTGACCCGTGGGTAAAAGTCCAGGCCGTGGGGGAGGCTGGGAGGGGCCTGGTGCTCTCCTGCTGTGTGGCTTGGGGCTTGTTGCCTCCCCTCTCTGAGCCCCCATTTCCTCCTTCATCCCGTGGGGTCTGTGAGGAGACCAGGTGGGCGTGCTGGGGACCCCAGCCTGTGATGCTCTGCTAACTACAAATGCTGCTCCTCTGGAGGGTGGGTACCCTGTGCTGTGGGACGTCAGCCTGCCCCACCTGGCTCCTGTCCCCTGGCTTCTCCACAGGTTTTCCAGCGGAGGATGGACGGCTCCGTGGACTTCTACCGGGACTGGGCCGCGTACAAGCGGGGCTTCGGCAGTCAGCTTGGGGAGTTCTGGCTGGGGAACGACAATATCCACGGCCTGACCGCCCAGGGTAGGGCCACTGCTGGGGCTCGGGGGTCGGGGGGCCCTGAATGGGGGTGCCCCTGCCCCTTAGGCCTGGGCCACCAGGAACATAAGCACCTCTTGGCCCACAGGGGTGTGGGCCCTGAGCACACTCAGGGTGCCACTGGGACCTCTAAGGGCTGCGTCCCCTGCCGCAGGCTCTGGCAGCATCGGGAAGGGAAATAGAGCTCTGGGCTGAAGGCCTCTTCAGGTCTTGGCTCCACTGGCATCTCAGATCCTGAGAGTGGGAAGCAGGAGAGAGACCACTGGGGCTTGGGGTGGCCTTCATCTCCGGCTGTTGATGTGCCTCTGAAGCTTGCATCTTAGTCCCATGGAGAGCCCATGCTTGCCTCCTCCAGCCCACGCCTCAGCAAGCCCCCTGCAGCCGCACCGACCCGAGTGAGAGGGCCTTGCCCCAACCATCCGGGGCAGGGAATGAGTTTTGCAGCTGGCCCTGAGGCAGTCTGTATCATCGCTGGTCCATTATCCCTGCCCACTGCCCCATGGCATGATTGAAGGTATCCACTCAGGTGCCTCAAATTCCTGCAAGAGAAACTACAATTATAGCTTTGCCCACTTCTGTATTAGAGGCTCACCAACCCATTTTGAAAGAGAAGGTACACTTTCAAAATGAAAGAATGCTCCCTTCCACCCGATGAACTCCAGTGGGGCATGTTCAGGTCTCCAAAATACCGGGGAAAGGTGTTTAGAAACAGAAAACCATCCCTGAGAGCCTGATAGCAACAAGGGATTTTCCAACATTCCCAGTTGATTTTTTTCCTGGATGCCACGTTCAGACATCCCTTAAGAATGTATCCATCCCCAGCCAGGCGCGGTGGCTCACACCTGTAATCCCAGCACTTTGGGAGGCTAAGGCAGGTGGATCACGAGGTCAAGAGATCGAGACCATCCTGACCAACATGGTGAAATTCCATCTCTACTAAAAATACAAAAAAAAAGTAGCTGGGCGTGGTGGCACATGCCTGTAATCCCAGCTACTAGGGAGGCTGAGGCAGGATAATCGCTTGAACCCAGGAGGCAGAGGTTGCAGTGAGCTGATGTCGTGCCATTGCACTCCAGCCAGGCAACAAGAGTGGAACTCTGTCTCAAAACAAAACAAAACAAAACAAAATTACCCATCCCCAGCTCTCATGCCTGGTGACAGAAAGATCTTGAAGGCTGGGACCTTAACATCTTTTTCCAACAGGAAGCAGCGAGCTCCGTGTAGACCTGGTGGACTTTGAGGGCAATCGCCAGTTTGCTAAGTACAGATCATTCAAGGTGGCCGGCGAGGCGGAGAAGTACAAGCTAGTACTGGGAGCCTTTGTCGAGGGCAGTGCGGGTGAGTGTCTGCTGGGGGCCGGGTGGCCTGAGTGGGGTTTGGGAAGCAGAGAGAACCTAGCTGTGTCTCCCCTGGTGACCTTGGGCCTTCCCCTCTCTGAATCCCGTTTCTCCATCTGTCAAGCAGACGCTAGCATTGGTGTCTCTATACAGCATGGGGCTCACAGGACATAGTGGCTGGCATTCCTAAGGCTATGTCTGCCACACAGTGAGCCGTCTGGGCAGGGCTGAGATGACCCACCGGCGTCACCCGCTGAAACCTGGACGACAACGTCCTTTTCTCATGGGTGCCTTGGAGCTGTTTCCCAAACTGTGCTCCATGGAACACCAGCCTTGTGGGACATTCTCTACCAAAGGGAGTCTCTGGCTGCATGATTTGGGGAGGCATTTCCTACAGGGCGTCTGCTTGGGGAACTTCCAGTGCACATTCGTTCATGAAAGGCGCTGAGAATTGCTACGGCAGGAAGCCTGTGTAACTAACTGCTCCATGGAGCGAAGCAGTCCCAGGGGAGCCTTGGAAATGACAGCCTTGGAGTCTGTGCAGTCCTCTCTCAGGCACGATCTCACACATGACCTCCAAGGAAGGCAGCAGGGCAGGGAATGTCACCCCCATTTTGCAGGTGGTAAAACCGAGGCTCAGGGGGTGACACTTCTCAGCTGTAGGAGCCAGGGATGAGCTTCGGGCTCAGGGCTTGAGACGGAGGAAGAGCCCCCAGGTGAGGGCTGTCCTGCACCTACCAAGGGCCAGCAGGGCCCCAGGGGACGTGGGGAGAGACCGAAAGGAGTGGTGCAGGCTGGAGGAGGGAGGCCATCCCAGGAGAGAGCACGAGGCCTGACAGTTTCAGGGGGCCCTGGAGGAAATAGCTGGTTGCTGGAGCAGGGGCCTCAGGTTGTGGAGAGGAATTTCCAGACCAGGTTGCCAGAGGTTGACTCCTGCTTCCCCTTCCTCCAAGGCCTGGGTGGGTCCTTTGCGCACCTGTACCTCGGCTCATGCATCTCTAAAGTGAGGCTGGCTCTGCTCAGGGGCAGGATGTGGGGAGGGTCTCACGGTGGCAGGGCTTTTTCTAGCATCTGCAAACCCCACATTTTCTGTGAGCAGGTAATTCTCTAGGGGCCCACAACAACCACTTCTTCTCCACCAAAGACCAAGACAACGATGTGAGTTCTTCGAACTGTGCTGTGAAGTTCCAGGGAGCCTGGTGGTACGCTGACTGTCATGCTTCAAACCTGAATGGTCTCTACCTCAGAGGACCCCACGAGAGCTATGCCAACGGCATCAACTGGAGTGCGGCAAAGGGGTACAACTATAGCTTCAAGGTGTCGGAGATGAAGGTGCGGCCCGCCTAGCCGGGCCAGGACCCCTCCACATGCACCTGCTGGTGGGGAGACCACACCCACAAGCGCTGTGGCGTAAAAGTTACCCCATTTCCCCAGCCAGACGCACTCCCATGACGCTCACAGCTGTCCCTTTGCCCCCAGCCCGGTCAACCTGCCACATGCCCACAACCTCACCAGAGGGAGAATTATGCTTCTAAATATGTTTGCTCTGGGACAGACGAGTTTTTACAGTTTCCGTATGTGTTTCTTGAACACCAGTGGTTTTGATCACTTTCCTGCATCTGTTGCACGGCAGGTGTTTCCCTGGAATTTGCTAAGTCAGGAAGAGTCAGGACCCTCACTTAGCAGATGGCATTACCGATGTTCAGGGAGGTTGAGTGACTTTTGCAAGGATTTTCCACCTCCAGTAATTGACACAGGGCAATCCCCACCTCCATCCCCAGGCCTCCCCCGTCCCCCCAGGCCTCACTCACAGCACTTCACACTCCTTGAGAAAAGTCACTTTGGGGTCCAGAAAACACTTATTAAAAAGGGGGAAAGTTTAGTAGGAACTTTTCTGCTTCCCACCACGGCAGACTTCGTGCTTTGGGCCGGCTGGCTGCTGAGAAGAGATAAACACTTAGCACTCACCCCCAGGAAGAGAGCGCCTGGTCAGCCACCTGCACAGAGAAGATTCCGAAGAGGCCTTCCTCCCACACACAGACCTCAGCCAGGCGGGACTGCGGACCTCAGAGGGAAAAGCTGCACAAGGCTGCTAGGAGATGATGGAGAAGGGGCTTCTCCAGCTCCCAGGCCCGGGAGATTTCTCAACCATGACCTATGAGCCGTCAAAGTGGAATGTGGCAAGTGTGACCCCATTCCAATCAAGAGCTCCCACTTACCAAAGGACACTAAGAGAACCGAAGGAAGGCCAGAGGGGCAGAATCGCTGGGTGGCACACACATCTTTAGTTTTCCACTATTGCCACAACTGGTCACCACAAACGGAGTGGCTTGAAACAACAGGAACTCGTCACCTCCTGGTTGGGTAGGTCTGGAGTCCCAGGGCCTTACTAGGCCAGCAGGCAGGACTCAGCAGTGCAGGTCCTTCCAGGGTTCTTGGGGAGAACCTGCTTCCTTGCCTTTTCCAGCCCCAGGGGTCACTGGCATTCATTGGCTGGGACTCCTTCCCCCAACTCCAAAGCCAGCGGCACCACATGTCTCTGACCCTTCGTCCGTTGTCACCTCTGCCCCCAAGTCCCGGGGGACAGTCTGTCCACTCCTAAGACCCATGGGATTAGAGTAGGCCTACCCAGATAATCTGGGATCCTCTCCCATGTCCAGGTCTCTATCTCCAACCACGTCAGCAAAGTCTCTTTTGCCATGGAAGGCATTTGCAGCCTCTGAGATTGTGTGTATTAGGGCAGGACATCTTTGCCTGAGCAGTGGTGGGGGCGGGGAATTATTCTGCCTACCAGGCCCTATACAAAAATAAATATATCACAGGTTTCTATCTGAAAGAATTCCTGCAAATAATAAAAGAATTAGAGCAGCTCAGTTTGAAAAAAAAAAAAAAGGTATGAGACGTGAACAGACACTTCACACAAGATGTCATGCAGAGGAGCAAGGTATTTATCAAAAGGTGCTCCACTTTTCACTTGCCAGAAAAATACAAATTAGCACCCAAAGGAGTCGCTGCGTCCCCCTCATCTGAGCCACAGAAGTTAGAAAGACAGACAGCACCAGTGTCAGAGGTGACTGTGGGAGGGGGGTTTGCATACACTGCTGGTAGCAATGCAAATTCATGGAACCAACCTGGAAAATGGCTTGGTATCAACTGTTGGAGTAGAAGACACACAGTCCTGTAACCTGCCAATTCCACCTCAGGGCCTGGATGTGGCCGTCTTGTGTCCCAGGTGGCATGGCCAGAAATCTTTACAGCCAAATACTCACCATAGCACCAAACTGGAATCAGCCCACATACCTATCAGGAAGAGAATGGATGTTAAAACATGCAAGGATAGCCATTGGGTAGATCGCCAGACAGCCATGACAATGACACAGCGACACCTACACACAAGAAGCGTGAGTCTCACAAACATGGCAGCAAAAGGAGCCGTTTCAAGAGGGTGTGTGCTGTGGATTCCATTGTAGATAAAGTTTTTCAGAAACAAAAGTAGCCGATGGTATTTTGGATGCATATTTAGGTGGTAAACGTATACAGGAAAAATAAGAAAGTGATTGTATTTGAGGGTGGGACTGCATGGTGACTGGGAAGGGACAGGGACACGCCTTTGGGGTCCTGGCAATGTTCTGTTTCTTGACCTGGGTGGTGACTGTAAGGATGTTTGTTAACTAGTGATAGAAATAATTAAGCTATACTTTTGCTTTATGCAGTTTTGGACACATGTTATGTTCCACAATTTAAAAACTACTTATAAAGAAACTGCACATGCTCAGATTCAGGAACATGAGCTACAGGCACATCCTTCTCTGATGTCCAGTGTTCTTGACTCAATACCTGTAAGGAGAGGTCCTTGTAGCCCACTGGGGGCCGACCAGACCCTACCACGCCCCTGCCACAATCTCTAGTTCATCACAAAATCCACTATTGGGAGAGTACTTTCGTCCCTCAGTAGGTAAGCATTTTTACAACCTAGGAAGACTCAGCGTTAAGTCTAGAAATGATTAATATAAATATAAAATATAAATACGATTAATATAAATATAAAATAGCCATAGAAATGTCTTTTTGTTTGTTTGTTTTTCTTTTTAATCTTAGCTTTTTGGCTAATGTCTTATTCCACACTTGGAGGGTTTTGATTGAATGCTAGACATAGTATACAGGAAAGCAGAAAGGACTTTTTTTTAAGTCAGATTTTTTGAGGTGTAATTTAAATACAGTAAAATTCACCTATTTTAGTTCAGTTCTAAGAGCTTCCTCCATGACTTTTCCTTTGGCCCATGGAAAATTGTGTTCCTTTACTTCCAAATTATTGGGGATTTTTCTAGACATCTTTCAGTTATTGATTTCTGGCTTACCTCTGTCAGGGTCAGAGAACATACTTAATATGATTTTGATTATTTTAAATTTGCCAATGTTTATTTTATGGCCCAGAATATGATCTATGTTGGTGAAAGTTCAATTTGAACTTGAAAAGAATATGTTTTATGCTGTTGTCTATTGCCATGTCGAAATGTCTGTATAAGTAAAATAGATTAATAAACTGATTGATAGTGTGGTTCACCTCTTTTATAGGCTTACTGATTTTTCTGTTTAGTCATTCTGTTGATTACTAACAGAGAAGCATAAGCTTTCTAACCATAATTGTGGGTTAATCTGTTTCTCGTTTCAGTTCTAGCAGCTTTTTGCTGATTTTTTAGGTTGCATTTTTTAGGTGAATGCACTTCTGGAATTGTATTGTGTCCTTGTTGAATTGTCCCATTTATCAACATGTAATAGCATCCTTTATTCTTGATAAAAGTCTTTGCTCTGAATTTTACTTTGTCTGTTATTCATATAGACTTTCCAGTTTTCTTTTGCTTGGATTTTACATAGTTTTTTCCCCCACTTTACTTTTAACAACTCTATATTTTTTAGTTGAGGTTGGGTTTCTCATAAACAGCATATAATTGGGGTTTTTAAATCCAATCTGAAAATTAATGTCTTTAATTTTGTGTTTATACCCTTTACACATAATATAATCATGTATGAGGCTTAACTGAAACCTACTATCTTGCTAGTTGTGCTGTACTTGAATTTTTTTTTTAGTATTCTGTTTTAATTGACCAACATTTGACTGTATCTCTTTGTGTAATTCTTTAGAGGTTGCTGTGGGCACGACTATGTATATTTAACTTTTCTCAGTATACTGAGAGTTGAAATTGTACTACTTAGAGGAAAACACAGCAACCTTGCAATGATATAGGTTATATTATACTACCTCCATATTGCAGTTACTAAATGTATTAGATCTGCCTTCCTTGAAAACCCATCAGACAGTCTTTTAATTTTGCTGTCAACAGTCATAGACATTTTTTTAAAAAACCTTAAGAGGCAAAAAATAGTGTGATCTTTTATTCAATTATTTATCAGTTCTGTTGCTCTCTTTCATTTCTGAAGTTCTGTACTTTCCTGTT